ATCTCTAAAGGAAAAAGCTTTTTCTGGTGCCAAGGATGTCATGTCCCAACATGTGTCTTTCTCTAGATGAAATCCTAACAAGCTAGCACAACTGAGAGAGAGAGAACTTACTTATTGTGCATGTTCACTGCTGATTGTCAGTTCATACTAATGGCCCTGATGCAGGCATCTGGGCACTGACAGCAGAGAGCACAAATAGTGCATTTGATAAACAAGGAACTTGAATAGTACAATGGGAGACTGACGTTATAGAGCACATAGATCTAAACATCCGCTTAGTTTGCACGGCATGAATGTGGATGGTGCACTGGCCTCCAAGAGAGACCAAAAAACCCACATGGTTTTTGTAGTGATATATCTGTGAGTGGATATTTCTGCAGCTGTTAGAGAGAGAGATGTCTACGTCATCCTCTGCCTTAATCAAGAGCCTACAGATTTGGAATGACCTTGGGACACTGAGGTTGTCTCCTTGAGATCTGCATATTGCCTGAAGCACACACACTGTAGCATGACTAAGGCCTCAAAAAAAAAAAATAATCAGGAAATTAATGACTTAGCATTCAGCCAAGGATTAACATAGTGCCCTTCATAAGCCTGTGGCCACGTACCGAAGACAGAAAGAAAATACGTAATGAGTAACTGCATATGGTTATTCTCTCCCATGTGGCTCTTGTGACTGCATTACTTGCACACCTAGCTGGACAGAGACTGAGCAGACAATCTGAACCGTAACATTTCCTAACTGGCACATTCAACTTCATTCATTGTCTTCTGGCGTAATTTGAGTATGTGCTTGTGTAGCAGTATTTAAAGTAGAGTAACACTTCAACAACTTGAGCTATTATGACCTTGTCTTTGCACCAGAATTTTCTCTCAATCTGTCTCTGAAGAGGAACTCTTCTCTAAAGATTTAACTAACTCATTTATATTTAGAATTTCAAAGCACCTCGGTCCATTGCTCTGTGACAGTCAGAAGACCTGCAGCTACAGTCAAATGCTAGAGTGCAATGACTCCTGTTCCTTGGTCTTGTAAAACCTGGTAACACTTAAAGGTCTCCACAGCTCTGTGTATGCTTGAGTTATTTTGCTTTATGCAACTTAAGGGGCAGCCCACACGGTTCTTTTTTTCTCCCACATTTCTTAACGTCTTGCAAAAATTACTGGAAGTCTACGCTGAATCACAGATTATATCAGCTGGTGTTTAAACTACGCGTGCTTCCTTTCCCTAGTGTTTTTCTTGTCAGGCATTGAATTCCTGTCAGAATTATTGGAGAGTGAGGCAGATTTCTGTAAATGTACTCTCATAAAATTGTTACTGCCTTTTTTTTTTTTTTTTAAATGTGTGAAATCAAAGAGCCAAAAAGCTGGACAGTATTTGTCAAACTGCTGTCAGATTTACCAGCAAATGATTGCAAGAATAATTTCCATTCAATAAAGTTGTATGAATGGTAAGCACAGAATTCAGAAAACTGAGGATGCTGTTCTAGCTAAAGTGGAGTGGTGGTGCTATGTCAGGGTGATGCAGGTAGCTTGGGACAAAAAAAACAGCCGACCGTCTTTGCAGAGAACTATTACAGGGTGCCACATTACAGTAAGTGTATTCTGGCTCAGATAAGTGCACAAATCATTAAATAAGCCAGATAAACATATGGAATTAGAATGAGCAATATGTTCCTTCATTTTTGAAGATTAAGGGCACATGTGGCTTGAACTAAGTAACACAGAGTGAAAAGATGAGATAGAATGACTTTGGGTCTCTTAGACGCAAATAGCTAAAAAAAAAATAAATAAGAAAAATATAAAAAGATTAAGTTTGTGCCTAAGTTCTGGCCATGACTAATAGTCTTGTTTAACTAAAGGATTCTTGGTTCAAAGATTACCCCAGCAATAATATCCAAAATTTAAGAAGTAGATTGCTCAAAAGCTCAACAGCAGAAATTGATGAACTAGAGCTATGCAAAAATGTTACAGGCCAGACTTTAAACCTTTAAAGGTAGCCATTACCTTTGAACTTTTCTGAATGCTGACTTTCAGAGTAAATATGGAAGATTCAACCCAAGTTGAACTTACGCAACCCCAGCTACAGAGACAGTAGACAACCCAGGAGCATCAATGCAGCTTCTAGAAAACCTGAAGGCACACTGCCTCTGCTCTTGTTCCACATAAATGTAGTGATAAGCTTATATTTCTCTTTTTAGAAGGGGGAAGTGTGAATCTCTGTTTGCAGCTTATTATTACCATTGCATTCCATATTCATAAGTCATTCCTATATGATTTTTATCTCTAACTGAAAGATCTCTCAAACACATTTTCTTATTAGGAAGCCCTGATTTCTTAGATAAGTGTGATGCATTCCAGCTTATGCATTCCATGATATAAGACATTATGGAATTCATCTGGCTAACTAAACTGAAAGTTCTCTAAGTCAGAGAAAAAAAAAAGACACAAAATAACCATCACCTCCACCACCACCACCAACAAAAAAAACTAAAAACATCTCCTTCATGATGCTGAATCAACAAGTTTACTTCCTAAGACCCAGCTGAGCAAGATACTTCAGACTGCATTTAAGCAAGCATGAGTGAGTTCAGAGGGACTAGCTACATTTCTTAAAATATTTACACACTTATGTACCCTGTATGGAACCCCTTGATGCTTTTTTTCTATTCCAGTTTGTCTAGGTTCCAGAACCAATAAAATGTACAAGCTTCCCAAATGACCTCTTCAAGACTTCAGGCAAAGGAACAAAACTTAGAGAAATATAGCACCTTTGAAACAGCTTATGCTTACAGGAGTATAAAAAGTCAGTTACACACCACAGGACTGTAGCTGAAAAATAGCTCAGGATTATTTTCTTCATCTAGTGTAACCTTTTCAAATTAAGTTCCAATTTCATGCTATCAGAATATATTTTATGGCTCTTTCCAGTTCTGGTCGCATGAAACTCTACTTTATAGGATGTAGCCATCTGCTAACAGAATAGAAGATTTTAAAGCAAATAATGGAACAATTGTATCTCTGTGAGTAAGATATGTCCCTGAAAGTTTATTCTAGGAGGACCCTATAGAATGGACCAAACTCTCAAAGAACTTTTGGATTGTTTCTTTGCTCTCAGCATGCTAAACTACTAAACCAGTTTCAGGCAACAGTACAGATAAGACATTTTATCTAGTACTATTCCGCTAGTTTTAGCCTATTTTTTATATTCATATCAACCCTGAGGTGGCATTACAAATACCTTATCTTGTGGGTAACAGAAGAGATGGAGAACAGAGTAACATTTTTCTAATTCTTAAATTTCTGGTCAAGGTTCATATCCTCCCTTTTATTTTGCTCACAACTTTGACTTGAGAAGTAGTAAATGAAGATCCAGATCAACACCATTTTCAAGGGCCAGGAATGAATAGATTATGACGAGTGATTTTCAGCCTTTGGTACATGGTCTACTCATAACATAACTGCAAAAAGCAAAGAAAGCCTCCCAACAACATTTTTCACAATACCACTAGAAAACAATGCATGGTGTGCACGTTTGAAAAAGTAAAAAACAACTGGGGGTTAGATAAAATCTAACAAAAACATAATGCATGAGACAGAAAGCCTACTGGATCCCTCCTTATTTCTTCTTGGTGACATTGCAGGACGACCATCCCATAAATTTTTCAGTGTTTGATTCCCTTTTCCTTTTTTTTCTTTAAAACTCAACAAGTCTCAAGTTCTTCCACCTCCTTCGGTTTCCTCTGAGTTTTCTCTGAAATTAAAGACTAGTTGGAAACTGTGGCTGTCCAAAGCCAGGGGTTTATTTCAATGAGATCTTTCTTATAGAGAAGGCAGACTTTGAAGAATATGTTTTTAACACTGATGATAGAAAATATTTAGTCATCCATCATCTTCGAAAAGAAAAAACAACAAAAAAATATGAAAACAGCTAAATTCTATTCCCTTCAGGTTACAAAATCACCTACATTTCATCTACTATATGGGAGGTTCCTGCCCAGATGCAGAGCTCTCACTACATTTCTGGACATGAACCTTGCATGAATGTCCAGCAGAACTGCCAGACACCATGCAAACCTGTCACTCCATTATGGATAGTTAAATAATCACAGACATATATTATAATAAAAAAGATCTGTGTCTTGGAGAGAACAAAGAGAGCTCTTCCAGAATAAACAAATATCTTACATTATTCTTCTAAGTGTTAATATTTTCCAGTGCTTTGAAGTTTGACAGTGCTATTTCACAAATTCCTAGGAGGCCACTTTCCTTCTAGGCTAGAAATCTGACTGTGGAACTGAGGAGGAATAGAACAGAAAAATCCCCAAACAGAGAAGAAATGCTTTAGTCTGACTGGTGAGTATTTCAATTTCTTGCTGCCACCAATTTTGACTGGCTTGCAAAAGTGGAGGGGATATGACACCTTGCACAGCACATGGAAATAACTCATTCCCAAACCTGTTGTGAAAAATCACCTGCTCTCCTTGACTTTCCAAAAATCCTCCAATACCTTCAGTGAGTTCAGCAGCAGTTTGTATGAGCTGTTAGCTCATTTCTCAAGTCATGACTTGCCACCTCTACGTTTCTTAACAACTTTTCTTCTTCCCACTATATGGCAGTTTTGTCACTTTTTATAATGGCTTGGCCACCTAGCTGTACTGGCAAAAGGCAAAAAAATTCCTGTAAGGGCAAGTAAACCCTCTTCCATGTGACATAGAAATGCTTACACTTCATTAACCTTTATTACAAACTAGTCACTGGAAAAGTTACTTTGCTAGAATCCACACTATGGTTTCACTCTACAAACCATGTCAGAATGCTAAATTGCAGTAAAATACTGCTCACCTTTTTATGAACCCAAGATTAATGATACGGTGCGGAAGAGAATATCAGTGCTGCTAGGAGCATAACAAATCACAATCAATTCTAAAATAGCTCATCAAGAACAGGCAGCAAAACAGCACAGATGGTTCCCAGAACTAAAGCCCCACTTCTCAACGTACCCATTACTGAGACATCGTATTCAACCAGCAGAGTTGCCTCTTGTCCGCATTGTTTGAGAATACTCATAGCTTCAGCGTGTGTTGTTCCAAGCAGTCGGATCCCATCAACACTCAGCAGCCTGTCCCCGGGTTTGATTGTGCCCTCTCTGAAAGGAGATTAAAGGAATGATCTTTATTAATATAAGATAAATTGATTTGGAGATAATACTGTTTATGCAAAACGATTCTCTCACACCCTCTCTGACATCCATCCCTCTTGACTTAACACTTAACATTTACGTTGACAGTGAGAACGTTCAGAGGGCACAGTGGAAAGAAAATTGCTTTAATTGGAAAGTCAGCGATTGGAAAACAGCTTAACACATAGCTAAATAATCAAGTCATGTTAAATCACAACCAAGTATAGCTTCTGCGTCAACATATGCTTTGTTTCTGCCTCGTCCACACAACTCTGCTTTCACACATACATAAACGCCTTCCCTCACAGATACGTGCTGAAAAATATGTATGAGGTACTACAAACATGCAGGTGAAGAAACAGATTGCAAAATACAAATGTCCATTTACTGATTTTCTTCAAAAATATATCCTACTTGGATAGTTCAATTTTTCTTTTCTTCCTACCTAAAAACAATTTGCTTATAAACGTACACTGTCTCCTAGGCTTATCTCATAACATGATCAGACTTATAACAGAAAATGGAGTACTAACATTGCCAACTTAATCAGGGAGAAAAACAAGAAGGCAGGGATGATGAGGGTGGTGAAAAAAGGGAGGGATAAAAATCGAAAGCTCTCTCAAAATGTTTGCTTCTCAATTGATGGGCAAAAATGTCAACATAAGCTATAGAACATCATTCTTCTTAAAAAAAACGCCCTTTATGTTTCTTTAAAGATTTAAGGGCATAAATGCCATTTTTGAAAATATGAATTAAAATTACACACAAAGTGAATATTTTTCCTTTATACAGATACAAGATGGCATTACAAAAGGAAGATGTTCATTGGGCCAAACCATAAACCTACACTCAGAAGTTTTCCAGGTGAATTCATGTGTGAACTCACATGCAGGTATGAAGAAATGTTCTAAAACAATAACAAAACAACACCCAATCACATAAATGTATTTGTCTGGAGTGTGAGAGAAAAAGATTGTAGTGTTAGGTTTAAAAAGCATAATTAAGAGCTTCAGTACTTGTCTGATGGCTGCAAAGATTGTTCTCTGACCTAATACAGAGATTTGTTCTAACTAGTTTAGGTTAATTTTTGCAAGTGTTTAATGGGTAGTCGTGGAACATGCAAGATAGCCTGTTAATTAAAGTTCACACCACACTGTGATGTGCTGAGCCTCTGTAGTTTCCTATTACTGTTATTATTTTTAAAATTAAACACATAAATCATGAATTTCAAAGGTTCAGGTTTGAATACATCTACTTCACTCCAAGTCTTAACTTCTATTCCAAATAATTCACGTTTCTCCATTTCTCTTTCACTTGCATTACAGAGAAAGATGAATTGTACCTGTCAGCAGGCCCTCCAGGTCTAACACATGTTATTACAACAGGACGAGATTTATTTCTGTCATCATGTGCTCCACCTAGAAAGAGAAAAGTGAGAGAAAACCCACCTTCATTTTATGCTTTTTATGAAAGCTCATTTCCAAGAGGTAAGTCTAAAGCTTGCAGCATGCACACTTACATATGGGCTAAAAGGAGGAAAAATGATGAAGCCATTCATATGAATCTGCACTGATGTTCACTTGAAATAAAATTGACCTAATGTATGGTATAGATGAGCCTTTATACAACATTTCTTACAGAGTGATTCTTATTAAAGGTGTAGTCCTTTCTTAGAAACTGCTTAGAAATCTGATCTCATTGTGAAAACTTACTGTTCTGTAATGTTTGCTGCACTGAGAAAATAAAACACCTGTACTGTGTGTGTACTCCAAAAAATGAGTAGCCACTAAGGAATTTATATATTAAAGAAGTGATAAAAAACCACCACAACACAGTTACACCATTTTTGTTTTTTTTTGGTTCGTTTTTTTTTTTTTTTTTTTTCCCCCTGAAGAAACCAATACACTTCCCATAATGTATCACTGGGGTATATTACTTAACAGCTGCATGTTTTCTTCTCTTCTCTAAGTCAGAGAAAATACTTTTGTTATATACCTCAGACTGCCAGCAGGTTTAATCAGATTCCATGCCTAATTTATAGAAAGTGTATATGTGAATCTTTTTTTTTCTTTTTCTTTTTTTTTCAGAACTACTATTTTATGGAATAAAACAGCTTCCTGCTGCTTTCAGTGGCAGCAGAGTCTGGTCGTAACATGAAATGAAGTTTGTCATGTTCTTGGCATAGCGGATTAATTACTGTTGTTCCATAAACAAATATTACATCAGTTCATAAAAGCAGTACGGTAATGTATGGAAGATATAATACATAAATCACAAAGATTTTTTACAAACTGTAGGCCATAAATCTTGAAATGATTTCTTAGTGCTGTAAAAACTTTGCTTCTTTTGCTGATTTCAAAAATACAGACCATTCATATTTAATAACTCACCTCTTATTACAAACCCAAAAGTGTTCCCCTCTTTATGTAAAGTAACTTCCACAGTTCTAAAGATGACACCCGATCCTTGTATAGCTAAAAAATAAAGAAAGACAAAAAACTCCACCATTATTTTCTTTTCCTGATTATGCATATAGATTTGCATCTTTTCCAAACTAAATTAGTTGCTGTATTTGTGATCCTACCATTGGAAAGATCTAACAGAACAATCAGACTGAAGACCTGTAATTAACTACAGCTCATGCTCTTTTTAAGAGAATTTTGAACCAGATACTTTGGAGGTTGCCAATGGCTTACAAAAAGAGCCATGGACATGTACAACAGCTGAAGAATTTAAGCCTTACTGTTTAAATTTTGGCATCATTTTTATTTTCTTATATTTGCAGAAGAGTGCAAGAAAAGATGGGAATACACAATGAAACACAAAGATGACAAATGAAATTCTCAGAGCTACCTATGTAGTTGGTTGTTCAGCCATGACAACATTTGTATTGCTTAAAGTTGAGACAGTCAAGATTTCTGGGGTATTTTGCTAATATCAGATTGCTAGGTCGAGATGAAAAAATATTTTGTATTATAAAAATCTGTTATTTCTTCCTTTTTAAAAACGTAACATGCTTCCTCACCATTCATGAGTGAGTTTAAAATTTTTCTGACTTCTAGTCAAGTCAGTATTTTCTCTCTAAACACTACAGGAGTGGCGCACAGCTGGGCTGGGAGGTGAGAAGCCTAATGCACAAGCCAACACATTTGGGTGTGATAATCCATTTTACATTATTTGAAACCACTGCTGTTAAGAGACCAACAGCCAGTTCACTGTTAGCTTTTACAGGAAAAACATTGGCAGAGTGCAGGAACTTCTTTTTCCAAAGGGAAAGGGACACTGGGCAAAATCACACATGCATTAACTTCTAGGTTTCCAGTAAGATACTGCAAATAGCACATAACACAAAGATGAAACAAAAACAGCAAACAAACAAACAAACAAAATAAAACCCACCAACCACCGAAAACCTCAACGAAAATATAAAACAAATGCTCTGTGAGGTGCAGGACTAATGAAATCTTATGTCCTTTAATACTGCAGCCTGTAATAATCCCAGTTTCACCTGTCCCTGTTATGATGCCCTGAGGGACAGGCTATGCAGCTGGCGAGGTGCACCCTGCCAGCCCATGGGTGACCCCAAACAGAAGTGGTGCCCCCTCAGATCTTCCTACTTCTGGGTGCTCCCTAGTCTGGGACTCTCACTTCTGATCAAGTGTTTATCTCCATGAAATGTGCAGGAATATACTTCTTTTTTTTTTTTTCCTGGACTCTTTCAATACCTTGTTAAACTCAGCTGACCATGACCTGCAGTTTTTAAAGTTACCGGAGGGAACCAGAAAAACAACCCAGTGAAAGCAAATGAATCTCAATCTCTTAGCAAAACAGGCTAAATCTGACACTTCAAAGCATTGCTTTGTATTGCAGTAATTTCTGCTGAAGCTCAAAGATCAGGATAGCAGTATTAATGTGCATGCTGCCCCTTTTCAGCTAGAAACCCTTTATTGACAGAAAAGGACCAAATTGCAGGGAGATGATGATAACTCTTGCCTGCTTTCCTATCAACCTAAAGTGGCCCAGTGCACAGCTCAAGCTGAATCTGCACTTGCTAATCTGCCCCATGTGGCTCGTGGCCTCCACTGGGGACAAAGCTTGTAGTTCAGCAGCAAAGAAGAGCATGCAGCTTCCTTCCACTTGAGCAACAACCATTCAGGCGGCTGTACTTCCACCCCGACCTCAGCCTGGGAGGTGAAAAAAGCCCTTAGCCATTAGCAACAAGAGGCAGATGCAAGGCAGACATGGATAATGTTCCAGTCTGAAGTGGTGAGGTGGCTTGTGCTGAAAATAGAAGCTGGATCCTCCTGCTGTGAACACTGCCAGGCAGGGAAGGAAACACAAGGGAGAGTGAGATTACTAGTGCTCAGCCAGGTTTAATCCATCATTATTAATGTACTGACATTTCCCCACTCAGAAACCAAAACAGCCCTCTCTCTGAGGGGGCAACTGTGAGAACAGCAGCAGCAATTATTTATGTATGGGGTAGGGAAGGAGGTGCCAGGACTGCACTATGTGACCAACTGCAAAACTTCATGTTAAAATGTCACTTTGTCTAGCTTGTTCATGAGAAGTTAATGGGAACAACTTAACTGCCCATTATCTACACAATATTAGCCAGGCTTGTATGAAGGAGTCAGAAATTTCAAGGACTCAGAAAAAAGGTCAATGATTGCTCCTGTAATTTACCATATCAAAATCCTGTTTCTGTGGACAAGAGTGGCACATACGCCAACAGCGGTGATACTGAAGAAAGCCCACTTGACTAAGTGCAAAACAAATAATGCTCATAAACCAACGACACCTCTAGTAAAATAACTCTGAACTCAGCTGAATTCATTACCTCAAATACTGTATTTTTGAACATGAAGCTCTCTTACCGTAAACAAACACTAATCAACAGAGAATGTTCAAAACATATTAAGGCGATTGTCAGGAGGTCATAAAAGCAACCAAATATGTAATTAGACTAACTCTCCAGCTGCTAGAATCCAGTGGGGAGTTCATTCTCTTCTGAGCACCATCAAAAAGACTGATGGATTTTTTTGGCTTCTATTGCAGTGAAAGTCTTTATTTAAGGAGACAAGAGCTTCCTAGCTAGCTCTGCATTTTTTTTTCTGGCCAAACACCAGAAAACGACATCTTCTCCCCTCCAGCGAGCATCATGAAAGAACATGCTCTCTTTTAAAGGCTGCTGTTTCAGTCCCTTTGGTGCCACATGTCACTTACTCCTTCATTTCAGGCCCCAGGTTTCTAACTCACCATTATTCTAGCTTTTACTTCATACCTGATGGCCTCAGTTCCCACTGATTTTCTCCCACATAGTCACAGACATAAATATAACAAGAAAGGGCAAAGGAAAGAGGCAAGGAAGACATTCAGTAGCACTCTTTGTGACTTCGATGACAACATATGCTTGTATTTTGAAGACAATCCTGCTCAGCAAGAAGTCTTCATTTCACTAACAGAATTATTGCAGTTCTACCTGTCCTTAATAACCTATTCCACTGGGTCGTCTGCTCTAGAAATGAGATGTTGCCTAAAACCAATGTCAGAAAAGACTGGAAAAATCTCAAAGTATGTTGCTCATCTGTGAAAGTATAAGGTGCTGCGAACAGAGAGAAGGAAGAAAAAGAGGTAGAACACATGGATATTCATTGGTCTCATCTCAGAAGATCTTACTATAACAAGAAGGATTGTCTTGCCCTGGAATCTATCTGATCTAATTCCCAGTATTCAAAATTGGAAAAAAATAGTGGAAGTTGACAAGATGCAGCTCTGCCATTGGCTGTATTAATGCTCTTAAAATACCCAGGCACTTCTAAGAGCATCTCTTTGCACTGACAATTCTTTTGTACTGTTTCCACACTCTGTGTTAAGCCAAAGGACAAAATTATATGCAAAACAATAGCAAAAATGAAGATCACTAGCACGTCCACCTCAGTGCTGACAACACGTCTCTTATTCTGCATAGCTTTCAGTTTGCTCTGCTTTTACTTACAGACTGGAGGGAGCTCGTACTCCACTTCTAAAACAACCCTCTCGCCAACATTCTTGAGCAGGCTGATGATTTCATCATGGCGAAATTTGGTCAGGTTGATTCCATTCACAGATTTGATGTAGTCACCAACATCCAGCTGGTCACTCCTAAGAAAAAGCACATATTCCTTTTGTTAAAAACAGATCTGCTAGACCAAACTAATTGATTACTTTAAATTACTGTTTAGTGTTGGCAAGAAAGAGTCTTTCCATTCATCTAGATTAAAACAAGTTGACCTTTCAAACAAAAAGTGGCATTTAAGAACTTAATCTAGTCTAGTTTGTTAAATATTAAAGAACATTGTTGCATTATTAATTTCTGATGTACAAAACGAGCTGTACAATATAGTAGTTGGATGATTTGGCTGGTTTGGGCACAGGATTTGGGAAAACATCTTCATCTCCCCATCTTTCTGTCTCTCTCATTGGGATACTGCCAGAACTATTTTTTTTTAGATAACAGTTGCCTCCACAACTAACATCATAACTAAAGGAGACAGGCCATAGCTCAAAAGCATATGTTCTGCTCAGTTACTTGGAATGATTTAGCTTAATCTTGACCTGTTTTGCTCATGAATAACAGTTTTATTTTTCTCTGTAGTAGTAAGCAAGGTAGCTATGTTTTATTATTATTATTTTTTACTATTTTTTTTACTAGTTATTTACTATTTCTGTTATACTTTTTCCCCTCAATATTTCATGCTTTTTCTCTCAGATTTTTGTTAAAGGACCAAATGAATAAATAAATAAATAATAATCAAATTTCTATTGTTTGTTTAGTCTCATGACAACTTTCAAATATCTCATTGGTATTTCTAGTTTTTATCAAAGAAGCCTTGAGGGAAGAGGGGGACCAGCTGTTGCTGTTTCAGAGCTTCTCCAGTCTGATGGGCTGCCATTACAGATGCATCTAGTCACATATTTGTTAGTGACCTTTCTGATGCGGTACGTATTTCTGAAGCAATCACATCTTATAATGTATTTTGTGGCCTGAAATGTGGTTACCTAGCAGCGATTCCTCCTTGACGAAGGTTAGATACTCTTGGTTTCCCATCCTTGTCGATTCCACCCGATACTGTAAGCCCTAGGGTAGTGCCTTCTTTTTTCATTAATTCAACTATTGTTGAGCCCTTGAATTCCTCTGTTGAAAGAAAATTATTGGCATTATTAAATTAAACGGTAACACAGATGTTGCTTTTCTAAAATGTCATCTACTTCCCAAGAAAATCATTGTGTGTGCTAATAAGAAATAACATCTACATCTGGAGATTTTTTATGTTGCAATTCAAAAGTTCTGTCCACAAGGCTGTGCACATAGACAAATCCAAGATACATACTCTGTAAAAGGTTATTAAAAACTATACCAATGTGCTAGTACACTATGCAGAGCCAATAAATGCAAAGTCTGGCAATGCTTGAACCAAAGGTAGTTGTTTCACATAAAAAAAACACACACCACAATTCCTCTCCTTTTCTGTTTCTCCCTCTGAACTCTATGCTTTATAAATTACCTTAGCTGATAACTGAATAGAAGGGTAAAAGACACAATGATATAATAGTACTAAAAAATTTCAGACTTAATTTGAGGCCACTTACAGATGTCAGAGTTAATCCAAACAATTGGATATAACAAGAATCCGGAAAGAGAGTAAATATATCAAACCTAACAGTTTTATTCCTTATTCTTACAGAAATAGACATCCACAGTAACACTCTAAAATCTGCAGAACAGATATAAAGTGAAGGTCTTTCACAGTCACAGTTGTATATAATGTTTCCCTCACATGATGTCTGGGACATGCTTTCATGCTGTTTGCTCATTTAGCATTCTCGAAAAATGCCAAGCTAATCTCACAAACCTCAGCTCGTGCAGGTCATCTGCAGTGGAAAGCCTTGACCACTCAGAAATAGTTGGCCTTATTGCACATGGCTGGACATAGCAATCTGCATATGCACAGAACTCTTTCAAAATGCACAAGACACTCATCCCTCAAGTCTAGCGTTTCCAGAGAAGACCTACCAGCTTCCCTGATATTCTGGAAAAATACAAAAAATCCTACAGATTCATCCTGCAAATGATGACATCCCGGAAAGATCATTCATCTTTCTGGTCCTTCACAGCATCAATGTGCAGCTTCTAGGTGAATTGGTCAAATCCAAACAACACCATGCATACACTACAAACCACAGTATGTCAGCACTGCACTGAGCTAGCAATCTTGCCATGGCAGCACAAGATTTAAGGATAGAAAGCTACTCAGAAAACAAGCAAGTTCCTTATATACATTCATATGTTCACCAGGAAACATCAAAAATCTAGAATAAGTACTATACCAACGGCAGCAAGGCTCTATCAATGCCTTGCCCATATGACCTAATATATCTTGAATTCAAGATGAAGAACAGCTGCCCTGAACAAGAACTGTCAAACTTGAGCAATGCAGAGAATGGTGGGAGGCAGAGAAAAGCATTCAGAAGTGCCTACAGACCTGGTGGAGTATCCCGCCAACCTTGGTGCTGCTTCTAACAGGGTTAACTGCTGCATCTTTTGGAGGCATAGCATTGCCCTATTGAATGTTCTCACTCCATTCTAGATGGCTGAAAGGCTCTTCTTTCCTTTCTGGCTGCTGAGGACCTCAGTTATTCACATTTCTACCATTGTACGGAAGGACTGTAGTGCTTGAACAAGGATTTTGCTAGGCTTATAAAGCTTCTACTAAGACAAAATTCTGCAATGTATTAGGTCAGCAATATGGATTGTCCTAAACTTTGAAATGAGTATTTTAAAAGTGGAAGGTGTATTATAACAAAACAGATTATAAGAGACTGAGATACTGTTCCAAGACATGTCCCTGTGCAATCAGATGCAGAGAGAGGCATAGCTACCTGGCGCATGCAACTTGGCTGGCACAAAAGAAGTTTTAAGTGTCATTTGGAAGCTATAGAGCTCCACAATAATGTTTGCTCCCATCTGGGCATTTTGACAGTTCAGAAAGAACAGATGTGTTCACCTGCACCTGAGCATATAGACAAGTTGCATAGCAGTAGGAGACACTATGGAACAAAACGCTATTTTCAGTTTTATAAAAAACTGCAAGTACTCACAGTGATTACAGGAGTCAGGCATTGTATTTACTGCAACCAAAAATACCACACAGTTGCACCCATTCTGCACATTACAGCCTCAGGTGCTTGGCTGGTATGTCCTAATGGTTTACTCAGGGTTTACTCCACCATGAGATCTGGATTCAGAAGTAGAATTTCCCTCCCTCCCCCAACTACCCAACTGAATTCCTCTCTTGAAGTACCCAGTAGTACAATCTGCTTCTTAGGACCATCTGAAAATCTATTTAACAAATAGCTTGCTAGAGCACGTATAGAGGACATCAGCAATGCACTCAGCATGCCTTATCTTTTGCCATAGCATAATACTGCTGTGTTTTGATCTTTTAAATAGGTTCTGAGTTTGCAATCCAGTGCTGGGAAATACTCTGCTGCCTGAAGTGACATGCGGAACAGATGATCCACAGAGTGTTTTAAGCTAGCTAATGATTACACAGTTCCCTGCAACTGCTGGCATGGAAATTAATGACCAGGCTACCTCCTTCTCGCCATCTATTCTGACAGGTTTCTGTGTACCTCTGCCAACAGAACTGTGACCTCTACACATTCTTTCTAGAAAAAGATGTACCAGCACTGCAAAGGGGTGGCGGTGAGAAATGCTTATTGCTAACTAACAGATGAGGTCATCTAAAAGTACACAGCAGTTGCATTAGGTTTGCCCCTCTGAAGGGCTTTGTAGGGGTTTTTGTCATTGTTGTTGTTGTTTTTTTGTTTGTTTGTTTTTGTATATAACCATAACAGGAACAAATCAATCTACCTAATTTGATTTTATTTATAAGGGCCTCTTAACCCTAGAAGAGCTGTTAAACAGGCCCACTTGATAACCCAGTCTCTCCATTTTTCATCACTGCTTTCTTAAATCGTGATTTCTATTCTTCTAATGCTATATGTTACATGTTTACTCACCTGCATTGTTTCTACATTATTATTATAGACTAACCCCACAGGAGTATAATCAAAAGGCCCAATATCAGAACAACCTGGCCACCTCACTTCTACAAACACCTCTCTAACAAGCAACTGCATCCACATGCACTATTCCTTAAATAACACGAGGTCAGTCTCTATTCCCTAGTTAACAAAAAGCTATGTTATTCTTTGTGGGTTAAAAACCATACTTCACGTGTCAGCTCACTTGTAACTCATTACTTACGCCAACCAGCACACTCCTAGTTCGTTAGAAGGCTCTGGGGCCTGCTCTTTCCCACATGCACCCCCACAGTGCTAACAGCATTAGCATAGTCAGCGTCAGAAGGAAAGTCAAAGAAGTTATTTCCAGATCTCTTCTAATTTATGAGGAAAACAGGAATTCAATTTACAAGTCTTTTGCTTAATTGCAAACTGAATATAAAACATGAGCGTAGGAAACAATGTTTTCTTATTCCACAACAGTTTATGAAGCATCAGATACCGGCACGCCACTCCTGCAATACAGCTCCATGATATGTACCAAGTGAATTGTTCTAAAATGAAACCACTCAGAGAAAATACATTCCCAAGTCTATAAAAAGCCCAAATCAATACCATTTTACACTTCAGTTTGAGAAATGCACTTGAGAACTTCTTCCCCTCCCAACCACTAACCACTCCAGCAGCACTCAGCAAAACAGAGCTCACTCTGGGACAATCCCCAGGGCTGCTGCAAGGCAACCTTGGGCAAATGTCGGTCTGTGCTGCACCAGCTGCCCCACAGCTCTGCTGGCATCCACCTACCTCCGGCACAGCGCTCGGGAAGGCAACTGAGCACTGGAGATGGGCTCATTGTGGGGCATGCAAATGCGTATGGTTGTGCGTGCATGCAGATGTGACATGGTAATGGAAGTTTCTGCTCCAAAGAGCTTAGTGTAGTCTCCAGTCCTGTAAGGTGGAGCATACAAAGCAGCTGAACACAGAAGAATACATAACACTGTTAGTTGTTTTTGTAATTCTTGGTCTGAATGCTTCTCTTAGGTCCACTGCTGCAATACTGTAACTATGTGGGCCTGACTTCCAGCAGGGTCAGCTGGCATAACAAGGCTGTGATATGAAACCTAGGAGACTATCGGGATACTCAAAATAGGACAAGAAAATTTCAAAAATAATGTAGTGCTTGGATGTGAAATTATTGGAGACTGGATGTGAAACTACTGGAGGGTGTCCAGACGAGGGCTACAAAGATGGTGAAGGGCCTAGAGGGGAAGATGTTCTGAGGAGCCGCTGAGGGCACTTGGCCTGTTCAGCCTGGAAAAGAGGAGGCTGAGTGGGGACCTCATTGCAGCCTACAGCTTCCTCATGAGGGGAGTGGAGGGGAAGGTGCCAATCTGTACTCTTTAGTGACCAGTGATAGGACCCAAGGGAATGGTGTCAAGCTACAACAGGGGAGGTTCAGGCTGAACATCAGGAAGAGGTTCTTCACCAAGAGGGTTGCTGTGCAATAGAACAGGCTCCCCAGGAACATAGTCACGGTACCAAGCCTGTTGGAGTTTAAGAAGCGTTTGGACTGTGCACTTAGTCATATGGTCTGAATTTTTGGTAGACCTGTGTGGTGCCAGGAGTTGGACTTGATGATCCTTATGGGTCCCTTCCAACTCAGGATATCCTGTGATTCTGTGCTCAAATATGACTAGGTAAATCCCCCAGTAAGAAGATGAAGAAATGGAACAACTTGCAGGTAAGTAGAATCCAAAAAACATTATGTCAAATTAACCTTTCTTCAAGAATATGAAGCTCATGATGAAGCTCCTAGAATTTTAAATACGATCAGACATTTGATAATTTCCTGCATTTTGATGTATGTAAATAACATGTTTTAATGAATAAAAAGTATGGAAAATAAGATGACTCATGAGATTTCTGAATGTGGCATGCATTCACTTCTTCAAAAAAGAAAATTAAATACTAAAATAGAGAAAAGAATTTCTCCCAGAATAACATTTGAAAGCTGAGAGAACACTTAATCAAAAGTTTTATTATCTATTTTCTATATTCCTACAAGTTTATATCTTAATTTGCATATTGAAGTAAAATTGAAAAACATTT